AAGACCTGAACATCACGATGCAGATGAACCAGAAGAGAATGACCTTAAAAACATCTTCATGAAAAAGATAGAGGACCTCAAAGAGGACATGAGAAAATCCCTTAAGGAAACGGAAGAGAAAACAAACCAAAAATTACAAGATATCAACAAATCTCTCAAGGAAACAGTTCAAGACCTAAAAACTGAAATAGAGACAATAAAGAAAGCATATTCTGAGGGAATGTTGGAAATAGAAAAGCTAGGTAAACGATCAGGAACTACAAATGTAAGCATAACCAACAGAATACAAGAGATGGAAGAGAGAATCTGAGGAGTTGAAGACACACTAGCGGAAATAGATTCACCAGCCAAAGAAAATCTTAAGTCCAACAAATCCCTATCACAAAATATCCAGGAAAATATAGGATACCGTTGTAGGGAGACACTGTAGCCCCGACTCCTAGTAGCCCGGACAGGTGTGCTGGGACATGCCCGTGAGGGCGTGGTCAGGGGAAGTCTAAGGTGACGTGGGAACGGTTCTTAAGGGACTGTGCACACCTGGATAGCCCTCTCTCTGGCCACGTTAGCTTGCGAGCTATGAGCACGCTTTGGCTTGTGCTTGGCTGGTGTTTATCTGAATAAAGAAAACTTAGCCCTACAGAATTCGGATCGATCTCTCCATTTGGCGCCCACCAAACCCCCACTGCTGGCATGCAGGCAGGGCTCTACACTTGCACCCTCTGCTTTACAGCCCAGAAGCTACGGGTGTTGGGAGCTGCAGAGTACCGCACCTACAAGATGGCACCGGTTTTCGACTTCCACCAGCCCGACGGTGAGTGCTCTCTGTGGTAAACAACTCCTAATTTGGTAAAGGTCATGTATTCTCTTAATTCTGCTTGGAGACAACCTATCCTGGCGCACCACGTAGGGTTAGGTGATTGGTAGATGTAGACTATATCAGGCCCCGTCTTCCTCTACCCGGGGCCGCCATTCACTGTAAAGCAAGGTTCCCAAATAAAACTGTGTGAAGAAGATTCCTCGGTGTTGCATCGTTCTTGCTGGTCAAGGGTGGACGCGACAAGTGGTGGCCTGTACGGGGAATCAGAACTTCTCACAGTCGGGGTGGCGCCGGTAAGTTCCCAAGGTAAGTGGGACAATAAAGTCCGAGGTGAATGTGGCGATAAGGCCCTCGGGAAAGAGGCAATAAGGTCTCTGGTAAAGGAGCAACAAGGCCCTTGGGAAAGAGGTGATAAGGTCTCCAGTAAGGAGCAATAAAAGCCTTCGGCAAAGAGGCAATAAAGTCTCCGGAGAGGAGCAAGACTGTTTTCGGCAAAAGCGAACTGAAAGTAAAACACCTCGCTCCTGCTTTAACTTGTAGAGTGAGAGTAAGTGAATGGACCCCGCTATTATAGTGGTGATTTGGCTGCTCTTTAACATTGCAGTGTGGGCTTTTGTTTTCTGATGGTGCTATCCGACTTGCACGCCTTTGGAGCGCACAAACTAAAACAAAAGCACAATGGGATCATCACAATCACATCCAATTTTTCTGGCTCTTCAAGAGCTGCTTCATTCTAAAAATTTAAGGTTAACTAAAGGCACGTTGCAGAGGTTCCTGAATGAATGCAACACCATTGCACCCTGGTTCGAAGCCTCAGGCAATCTCTCGGTGTCTAGTTGGGATAAGTTAGGGAAAGACCTGGATTTTACCTGGGAACAAAGAACGTTGAAGCCATGTGTTCAACTGGTATGGCCTGGTATGCAGCTGTCTAGAGAACCAAGAGGGAAATAAGAAAGCTATAGCGAATGGACAAGCTGCCCTTGAAATGCTCCAAGAAGAAAGTTCAGAACAGTCAGAAAGTGAGAGAGGAAAGGAAAAACGGAAAGGGGATAAGAAGTGAGTCTATCCTTCTCTAGGAGAGCTGAGGAAGGAGTTAAAAGAACCAGGAGAGGATTCAGAATCAGAGCAGGATATATGTGAGGATGAGGACCTCACGGAGGATGAGGAGGGAGAGATTATTGAGCTCATGGAAAAACATTCCTTAAAAGTACCAGAAAAACAGCGCCCTAAAATGGCAACTGTAAAGCAAGGGCACCGCCCTGTTGCTCCTCACCCCTACTGCTCGAAAGAGGAAGTAGGAGATCCTGGTTCCTCCACCTTCTGTCCGGAAGTGTGGCCTACTGTTCGCACTGAATTCCGGATTGCCCGACCACTGGCTTATCCAGTTTTTAAGGATGGTAACCAACAGAGATATTATGAGCCGATTGACTTTAAAATAGTCAAAGCTCTGGCAGAGTCGGTACACACCTATGGGGTGACGGCAGCTGATACAATTGCCCAGGTAGAAGCACTCAATCGCTTCTGTATGACACCCAGTGATTGGATGAATTTGGTAAGAGCTTTTTTATCACCAGGACAATACTTGGATTGGAGAGCTTTCCAAATTGAATCTGCCAATGATCAAGGTGAGGCTAACCACTCAGCTGGTAATCCAGCCTGGGATGTGGACATGCTTCTTGGTCAGGGACGTTTTGCACAGCAACAAACAGGATATCCTCCTCAAGTGTATGATCAGATTAACCAAATAGCCATTA